GCTGAGCCTGCCCCGGCAAGGCCAGCCAAAAGAAGTGCAGACAGGCCTGCGAGAAAAGCCAAAGCCTCCAAAGTCAAAGCTACCAAAGGCTCTCCACCCCCCAGTGGACCCACAGTTAACCTGACTTCAGACGAAGAACTCTCAGCCGAAGAGGACTTCGTGATGTTGGGGTCGGTTTGTGACGGGGTCTCAGATGTAACTATCGACTAGTAACATCATTGCACACAATCTAAGCATCCTACAGTGGAACATAAATGGCTTTTCCGGAAGGAATGCCATGCTCCAAGCAGTAGTGCGATCAAGGAGCATCGACGTTGTCATGCTCCAGGAGACACGAACGGCGGACACTGTTCGCTTCGCAGGGTATCACGCGTTCACGCTGCCACAAACGCCTGGCAAAAGAGGCCTGATCACCCTTGTCAAAGCAACAATCCCCTGCTCCGCAATAGCCGATGCACCGCACTGTGGAGAAGAGACAGAATCTCTCGCCGTAGAGATCCACCTGGCCGGGGGCCCCCTCAAACTGTACAACGTGTACAACCGGCCAGGCTGTAGTAGCTTAGATATTAGCCAGGTCTGTGCGTCTGCTGCACAAGACCGAGTGATCATTGGGGGAGATCATCATCATCCCATCCTAGCTCCCTGCCGGGGACCGGGTGCGGCTGGCCTCCACATAACCAGCGTGCTGGAGATGTTCCCCGAGATCGCTCTCCTCAACACCAGAGAGCCAACGCATGTCGGCGGTGGGGTACTAGACCTCACCCTGGTCACTGCGACTCTGGTGGACAGGATTAGCTGGTGTGTTGATGAGACTGTCACAAGCGACCACTTTGGGACGGTAACCACCCTCATGGACGCAGGCCCAACCGAAATCCCACGACCGAATCCAAGATGGAAAACAGACAAGGCCAACTGGCAGGCGTTTCAGAACGCCTTGGCTCACTGTCTGAGAGGCAACGAATCCACACAAGCCGAAAACGTGGATGTGCTGGAAGCCAGACTGGTACAAGCCATAAACCAAGCAGCCTCACTGACCACACCCAGAACTCGGCCCGGGTCCAGGCGTCCTTGTTTAACGACGAGATCAGGGAGGTCAACCACAGGGTGAACATGTGCCGAAAACTGTTCCGAAGGCAAAGAACCCCCGACAACCTCGCACTGCTGAGGGAGGCTGTCAGGGATGCCAAGGAAACTGCCAGCAGAGTCAGGCAGGAGACATGGTTGGAATGGTGTGAGTCCTTCAGCCACCAAACCACCGTCTCAGAGCTGTGGCAACGGGTCAGGCGAGCTACCAGCCGCTCAGCCCCGAGACGAACGCACTACGACCCCCAAGCAGAGGCAAACAGACTGGCGCACCAGTTCTCTGAGAGAACAAGCAGCAACAGTCTACCAGCTGAGCTGAGGGCCAAACAAGAAAGCCTGAAAGCAGACAGACTTGCTCAGATCAGAGAAAGGGCAGCCGAAGCCGATAACTCAGACGCTATCTTTTCTCTGAGGGAACTCCGAAAAGCATATAAACTCAGTTCAAATACAGCCTAGGGCTCTGATGGGATCACGTATCCCATTATCTCCCGCCTAGGACGTGAAGGTGAACTTGCACTCTTGCAGCTCATCAACAAGTCCTGGGAATCTTCCTCTGTACCGCAGAGCTGGAAGAGGGCTACCATAGTTCCCATCCCAAAAGCCAAGGAACCGGGGAATTACCGCCCCATCTCCCTCCTCAGCTGTCTGGCCAAGACGGCCGAGAGGATGGTACTGAACCGGCTCCTGTGGAAAATGGGACCCCCGCACGAACACCTGCACGGGTTCACCAGGGGTATGAGCACTGCACACAGCATAGCCACGCTCTTGAGCACAGTCAGCACAACCTCAGCCGCGGCAGTATTCCTGGACCTGGAAAAGGCCTTTGAACTAGCAAGCCCTCTTGCTATTCAGGAGGCCCTGGCCCAGAAGGGAATCAGAGGAAAGCTCCTGGCTTGGATAGGTGACTACTTTAGGAACAGAACTGCCAGAGTGAAGTTCCAGGGTCACCTATCGCAGCACTTGCCACTGGAAAATGGGACGCCGCAGGGTGGGGTTCTCAGTCCAACCCTATTTAACGTACTCATGTCCTGTATCCTCAACATGAACCTCCCGTCAGGGATGCAAGATCGTCTCGTATGCGGACGATCTCGCCATCACCGCCATTGGGACACAATGTCTAAGTAAAGCCCAGCGTTGTCTGGACCTTGTGTCCGAGGAGTGTTGCAGGACGGGACTTAAGATCTCAGCAGCCAAATCTAAGGCCATGGCTCTGGGAAAACGAGTTCAAGGCACAAGTCTGAGGATCCAGGGAGTAGACTTGGAATGAGTCCCGGTGTTCCAATACCTTGGGGTATGGATAGACCGGACCCTCTCCTTCCGGCAGGAGACCAAGTACCTGGTCGACCGATGCAAAGCAAGACTGAACGTCATGAGAGTAATGACTGGGAGACGCATAGGAGCCAGACACAAAGTACTAAGAGCCTTCTACGTACATGCTGTCAGGCCCATTGTGGACTACGCCTCAGTCGCCCTAATTGGCAGAAAGAAAAAATACAGAGAAAAATTGGAAACAGTCCAAAACGAAGCTGCCAGAATCATTCTGAGTGCCCCGAGGTGGTCAAAGGTTCCCAACCTCCTGATGGAGACCAACCTTTTCCCCCTGGACTCACGAATCGATCAAATGGCAGCCAACTTCTTTGCAAAGGTCCTCTAGGCTCCCAGGAACACGAGCCTAAGAGAAAAATTAGCCAGACGCCTGGAACAAGACAACGAGCTCTTTGCCAACAACACGTGGCTGTCCCACACAGCCAGGGTGTTGATAAGCTTTGAGCTCAAAGAGCAGCTCCTGACCAAGGGCATGGACTCCCCCCACCCTGACTTTGTCGAAGCCCCGCCGTGGGCACAAAATTCGATAGAGTTCTCGGTCATGAGATTAGCGCTCAAAAAGACCGAATATCCCACGCCTGGTCTAAAGGCAGAGACCTACAGGGTCATATCAGCCATCACCCCCCTGGGTAGTAGAACTTACTACACGGACGGATCGGTCGATCCAGCCAACCACACTGCAGGGATGCCATGCGCTCCATGAGGGTATCAGACAACGCCTCCTCGCTACAGGCAGAGGCCGTTGCGATCATGGAAGCCCTAGCCCACGCGTCCCCTTTGGGAGGACACGTAGTCATTCACACTGACTCTAGGGCAGCCATTGACTCTCTCAAGCTCAGCTCACCCAAAGACAATATCTACCTCCTGACCACAATATTAACAATAGCCCAAAGAATACTGGCTCAGGGTAGAAGAATCATCCTTAATTGGGTCCCTAGCCACATTGGCATCAGAGGGAACGAACTTGCTGACAGACTAGCAGTCTCTGGCAGGGGTATGCCCCCTAGTCCCATGATCATTGCACCTAGCCGTAATTTACTTCGGATGAAGAGTACTGGTGTCGCCAACTCCTTCCTCCTGCAGCTTCACAGAGAGGCAACGAGATCCTCCCCCTCGGCCAGATGGTATTCAGAAGCAACGGGCTATGAACCACTGGCACTCTCTGAGCTAAAAGACAGACAAACCGAAGTCATTCTCCACAGAATGCGCCTAGATTACCACTGTAAATGGCAGATAATTGAGACCATTGTCCATGAAGAGAGGTGTTGCATGCATTGCGGCGAGCCGAACGCCACACTTATACATTACTTAGAGAATTGTGTACACACACAATTCCCGAGACAGGGACCCCCGACAACAGCCGCCGTGCTGGTAAAGAGACTTTGCGATTCACTTACCCCGTGGCAGCAGGAGCGCCTGCTGGCAATCCCACCGCCACGGTAAGCACCGAGAGCCATAGATCGAAATGAGTCAGCCCTAATAAGCTGACACAGGCCGGGCCATAGCCGAAGGCCCGGGCGAAGCTAGAACTTCGCAAATCACAATCGATCGATCGAAGCTAGAACTTCACAAATCTCAAAGTAAGTAAGCGACAAGTCCGTGCACGGTAACGCCACCGATGGCGCCTGGCAGGTTGCCTTATCCATACTCAACCTCCCTCGTTAGCCGAGTGTGCCCCACAGCCCGGGATGACGGCGCGCTGGCTGAGGAGCTGGCTCGCCAGCTCGCTCACGCCAATTGCGCACCATCATGCCAGGGTTGCGCAAACCACAGATGGCGCGGGGCCACCCTTTCCAGCCTTTATCCTCCTTTCCGCCTCCCAGTCAGCTATGCCCCCAGCTTTTACCTCGCATGTTGTGATAAACTCCGACACTTTTCTCTCTTACCAAATCATTTTTTCGATCCCCCCTTTATCCTTCCCCTCTCCCGCCTTCTCTCCCCCTGGCAGTTTATTCTAACTTTACGTTACGAAGCGAGATCAGCATTCCCCGATCCTCCAGCAGAGCAAGACTACAGCAGCAGCACTCTGCTGGGGAGCCTGCCGGCTCCCCTGTAGATCTCCAACTTCAGCCTCCAACACCCAACCATACCTGTGGGCCCTCACACCTACACAGTCACTTCCCAAAGAGATAAGACACCAGACCAAAATTGTAGATGCAACAACAGTAAGATCTACTATACTAGATGGTGTTGTTGCATCTACTATATAGACTGGTGTCTTATCTCTTTGGGGAGTGACTGTATGTGTGCCCACAGTTATGGCTGGGTGTTGGAGGCTGAAGTTGGTCTTGCTCTGGTGGAGGAACCGGCTTCTGCGTGCTTACACAACGCCCGTACACTTAATCCGCAGAAGCCGGAAACGAGATCAGCAATCCCCGATCCTCCACCAGAGCAAGACCACCAACTTCAGCCTCCAATACCCAGCCATACTTGTGAGCACTCACACACAGTCACTCCACAAAGAGATAAGACACCAGACTATAGAGAAGATGCAACAACACCATCTACTATAATGGTGGACTTTTACCTATTTTTTATATAATTATCTTCTGTTAGAGATGATTTTTTAGATACTGCAATCACATAATTACCTGTTGTCACAAAAGTAATATTGGCTTCTGTGAATTGGATGGTCGATCCTCCCACTTGCGATATTTGTTGTTGAATTTCATCAACCTTCTTTTTTATCTCTTTGTCCTTTTGCGCTATCTCGGCTTTCGTCGTTTGGGACTTCTCGAGAGCTTTCCCAACGCTCCCTTTTATTTCCGCAGCGAGCGTATCGTTATTCTTTACGTCGGTGGAGAGTTTCGTCAACTGTACCCTCAGCTCTTTAAGTCTTTGCAGGAGTTCTTTCAGAGCTGTGGTGTTGCTTACCTGGACGGCTGCATCAACCAAATCAAAAACTAAAAGCAACTCGTCGATGACACCCACTTGGCGCCGCCGTCTTCTGAGGCCGATCGAGTTTTGCATTTCCTGTAAAATGGCCGTTGCCTGATCAAGCTCATCTGCAACAGCAACAAGTTCACTCTGGAATTCAGATAACTGTTTGACTTCTTCGGTCAGAGCATTGACATTGACAGTGGTGGTTCCTCCAGCAGTGGTGGTTCCTCCAGCAGTGGTGGTTCCTCCAGGAGTGGTGGTTCCTCCAGGAGTGGTGGTTCCTCCAGGAGTGGTGGTTCCTCCAGGAGTGGTGGTTCCTCCAGCAATGGTGGTTCCTCCAGGAGTGGTGGTTCCTCCAGCAGTGGTGGTTCCTCCAGGAGTGGTGGTTCCTCCAGCAGTGGTGGTTCCTCCAGGAGTGGTGGTTCCTCCAGGAGTGGTGGTTCCTCCAGCAGTGGTGGTTCCTCCAGGAGTGGTGGTTCCTCCAGCAGTGGTGGTTCCTCCAGCAGTGGTGGTTCCTCCAGGAGTGGTGGTTCCTCCAGCAGTGGTGGTTCCTCCAACAGTAGTGGTTCCTAACGCAGTGGTGGTTCCTCCAACAGTAGTGGTTCCTCCGGCAGTGGTGGTTCCTCCAACAGTGGTGGTTCCTCCAACAGTAGTGGTTCCTCCAACAGTGGTGGTTCCTCCAGCAGTGGTGGTTCCTCCAGCAGTAGTGGTTCCTCCAACAGTAGTGGTTCCTCCAACAGTGGTGGTTCCTCCAGCAGTGGTGGTTCCTCCAACAGTAGTGGTTCCTCCAACAGTGGTGGTTCCTCCAACAGTGGTGGTTCCTCCAACAGTAGTGGTTCCTCCAACAGTGGTGGTTCCTCCAGCAGTGGTGGTTCCTCCAACAGTGGTGGTTCCTCCAGCAGTGGTAGTTCCTCCAGCAATGGTGGTTCCTCCGGCAGTGGTGGGTCCTACAGCAGTATGTATACATGAGCACAAACACAAACACAGTAACATGTACACAATGGTAAAGATTAAAAAAGCCACAATAAAAAATGAAACAATATCGGCCGCCGGGCTTCTTTCCTGTTAGTACTGGATACTGGGTAGAGCTATTGTCCAAAGTCACTGTAGAAGTGTATGTATATAT